TGCCTTTCCCCTACAATTTGCTTATTTTCCATATTTTTTCTCCCCATTTATTCATTCACCGAACATTTTCCATGAAAACAAAGCATGAGCTGCCTGAACTTTGCCAATGGGGTGAACCCATTATACCCAATTCAGTGATTATTAACTCTGGTTAAATGGTTTTCGAATGCTGTCTATAATCTACATTTATGATGGTTATTATAATAATGTTTTACGTGTTATGGAATTATAGATGCTATGCTCGTCTGCACCCCCGTGCTGTTAACTGCAGGAAGAAGAAGTGTGGACACACAAACCAGGTTTGTATATACGATGTATATATATATATATATAGCATGAGCCTGATATTTGCTTCCTGTTTTTCTTTCTTTTGTTTTTTGCTCACAATTAATCAATTGTGCTTAATAATTCTTGATTCTTGTGCTTGTGCAGCTGAGGCCGAAGAAGAAGATCAAGTAGATTGCAGTTTGGATTATCTATGATTTGTTGGTTTCCCTTTATGTCCTTTATTTTAGTTGTTGAACATGAAATATTTTGATGTTTTTGGCGGTTAGACATTGTATTATTTGAATAATGGTTCTATTTTCTTATCCTTGTTTATCATGGTTTAGTTTATATGTGTGCTCGGTTCTATTGGCCTTTGTTGGTGTTTGGTTTTACTGCATTAGAGTCTCAGATTCGAATCACTCACTCGAGCATTGGTTTTTAATGAGTTTTATGAGGTTGGTTTAGGTCACACAGATGAGAGAAATTGGAAAGCAAATCAAGCAGTATTTGAGATTTAGGTAATAAAAATAATTTATAGTTGGTATACAGGTTTGGTTATCATATTTAAGTGTGGCGATTGTTGTGTGCTGCTTTGGATGTGATTTTTGAGATATTTGAAGCAAGGGCATAGTAATGGTTGTGAATCGAATTGTGAATCGAATTCCTCTAACAATGATTTTAATTTTTTAAATTAAGAAAGATGACTGTCAAGAAAGATAATTTGATGGACGAATTTTTTCTTTTTGGAAGAATAATATATGGACCAGCAAAAGGAAAAAGAATAACTTTGAGAGATTTTTGTACTACGATATAATTTGTAGAGTATCGGATGACACAATTTATAATCATCCACAATTGTTTATAAATAGTGACACATGTTTTAAAATAAAGTCAACTTATGACAAATGTTTATACATCAATTCATGGACTTTGACTATAGAATTTCTTTCGTAAAACATAACAATTAATCTAGGTTTTATATATTCATCATCTATGATGCATAAAATATATATTAATATATATGCCAAAAGCATAACATGTATTATTCTAGCGTGAAGTTGACGAATCGAAATATTCTGTATTCTGCAAATCCACATCCCAACAAGCCTATAAAATACTCTTATGCCACAACATGGAATTTGCATAAACTCATAGCTAGCTAGCAACATTTGCAAATCAATTGATTTCTAAAACGAATTAGAATATATCATTCTTTTTTCAAACACCAGCATCAATCCATGGCTTGTTCTGCTCAAACCTGCAGAAAGTCGAGGCAAGTCATAAAACTCGAGACAGAAAAAGATGTGTCGGTAGCTCTGGCACAGTACATCGCTGATCTCTCTGCAAAACATATCAAAGCAAAGTGTTCTTTTACTGTCGTGCTTTCGGGCGGGACTCTAATTCATACTCTTAGGTGATTATAAATTGGTTTAAGGGTTACTAATATATGTATATATGTACAGTTATCACATTGATAATTATCGTATAATACATTTGGCGCAGGAAGTTGGTCGAGTCGTACAAGGAAAGCATCGACTGGTCCAAATGGCACGTGTTTTGGGTGGACGAGAGGAAATGTCCCCTCGACAGCGAGTGTAGCAACCACAATCTGGCCAAGAACGGTTTTCTTTCTATGGTTGGAACATATTTTTCTCTTTAGGGTGACAGATCGTGATATCATACTATTATCTATTTTATTTTATTTGATCGTTTAATATGATACTAAGTACAAATCCAACTTAAATTTTTGTGTTATTCATGTTATTTAATCGTAAATATGATACTAAGTCCAAATCCAACTTAAATTTTTGGGCTATTCATGTCGCATTCCGATTTGTATCGTGTTCATCGTGTAAGTTGTCTCTATAATCATATAATATGTCTTACGGTTATGTAGTTTATTTAGTTGTACTATTATTTAGTAATTAAGTAATAACAAGGATTTAGTAGGATTCACTCTCGGAACAAGCTGAATTATGAAAAATTAGGGTGCTCGAGCCTTAAATCGAGCTCGAGCTTGACTCGTTTACCAATAATAACGAGCCGAGTTCGAGCCGATCTCGAGCTTTAACAAGCTGAATTATGAAAAATTATATGAAAAATATCTTTTCGAGCCTTAAACGAACCTTATCGAGTTGAGCTCGACTTGTTAACTAAACGAGCTTTAAATGAGCTCAAGCTCGACTCATTTATCAAACGAAGCGAGCCAAACTCAAGCCTTAACGAGCTGAGTCGAGCCAGGCTCGATTAATTTAACAGCTCTATGCGTCGTATCATGTTCCGATCTTGTAACAGAACATTTACCCGATGCAGTAATTCCGATGTTTTTTTTTTTCAACAGGTCCCAATTCCGAAACAGAACATTTACCCGATGCACTTCCACAAATACCCCCAACGCATGGCGGAGAACTACGAGGACCTTCTCAAAGCTCTAGCCACCCAAAACCGACTCCCCATATCGGCCTCCGGACACCCGATCTTCGACCTTATGCTCTTAGGCATCGGCCCCGATGGCCACGTGGCGTCGCTCTTCCCAGGAAAGCCCGAGAGGCACGAGACGAGAAAGTGGGTCACGTGCATATACGACTCGCCAAAGCCGCCACCTGTCAGGACCACACTCACTTTCCCGGTTATCAAGTCCGCCTCCACCATTGCCATGGTGGTCACCGGAAAAGATCTGGCGGGTGTTGTCGGCAAGACACTCGCCGGAGGAGGGACAGGTGGCGGCCAGCCGATAATACCCTGCGCGGAGCTTCACCACGAGGCGGAGGGTGAGGTGACGTGGTTTCTCGACAAGGACTCGGCTTCCAAGCTGAATTAACCAGTCAAAAAACATCATGATACATATATAAACATGTATATATGTGTGTGTGTGTGTGTGTGTGTGAGTGTGTGTGTGTGTGTGTGTGTGTGTGTGATGCACTATACATGATAAAAATAAAGGTGGGAGTTTTAACCGTTGGATCAACACATCTGCATGGGTATGTGAGTTAATGTGTGTAATTCGAGAGTTTAAAACTCTATGTGGGGGCAAGTAGGATTGAATTTGCTGTCTACTAATACATGTGGCTGTCTTGTTCTTAACCATTAATTACTGAGTATAAAGTATGAATTATGATCAGTAGTATTGGAAATCATATATATATATAAGCATTGAGTATCTTGAGTGGAAACATTCGTCTCGGATTCGGTTTCTCATGTCGTAAATCTGTTGGCTTTTTTTTTTTCTGGGTACGCGATTAATATTGACAGGCTGGACAAGAATCATGTTCGTTAAATCAGGCAAGAATTCGACGTGTGCTTGCTAGGCTCCAGTGAGCTTCTTGTCGAGGGTTTTCATCTGTTGAGAATGCAAACATAGTATCAAATAGTTGTCAATTTTCTCGAGACTGAAAACAAAATGAAGTTGATATAAGACCCCGTTTACTCAAAAAGATGGGATTGGACAGTTCAATCCCATCAACTTTACACGTCAGCTTGTGTCCTATGTTTACAAAAACATGATGCATATTAAGGCAAAAAGAATCAAGCGTTTACTAACCTTAAAGTAACAGCATAAAAAGCAAAATATGAGGTGGCAGGAAAATATATTTATATGGCCTAATATGTAATTTGGTGGACTTCTAAAGGTAAAATGGACATTTCACATGCCAATTTTTGGACAAAATGATCATTAAGGTGGGATTAAAATGTCGAACCCTCAAGACGGGACAAAATAATCCTGCCAATCGTGCATAACATTGTGGGAGCCACAGGAAACATTAACATATTATCCAATCCCATTTGGATAACAGGACTTATCCAACCGTATCCTTTCCAACAATATCCTATCCTATCAGTGCCGACCCTGGGGCAAGGCCACTAGGGTGACTGCCCAGGGCCCATTATATATAGGGGCCCCATATTTTTTCCTTTTTGACCAATTGTGTGTATATATATGTGCATATTTAAAATGTTTTTAATGTAGATTATTTTTTAAATATTTTTAAACTCTGCTATCAGCTTAAGTAAACGAGGCCTAAATTCAAATTTCAGTCATGCAACTTCAGGAGGTGGGTAAAATGAAAGGGGTATTTTAGCCATATCACCTCGTTTGAAATATGTTTTGAACCATTTTGCGTGGAGACTCAAGAGCAGCATATTCCAACTGCATCAACTCATCCAAACTTAATTGCCAGCCAAGGGCACCCAAGTTCTGCTCGGCTTGCTTTATCGACTTGACTCCAGGAATTGGAACTGTACCTTTTCCAATGCACCAGTTTATAGCCACCTGTAAAAAAAAACACATTAATAAACTGTAAGAGCTTCTTTCTGCCTTAAAGGTCGATAATTGAAAAAAACGAGAATCAAATGTTAGATAATTGTAGTGACTAGTGACAATTTACTTTCATTCTTTGATCTGTAATGATATTCTCATTGCAAGTGATACTATCGAACCCCACATTTTTTTTAAAGATAGATATAATCTTTTGACAGCTAAAATTTATCTTCCAATTTCGGGTAAGTATTGTGCTTTCACAAGCCAGGAAATCCAAATATCCTCAAATTTTGTACCTGAGATATGGTCTTTTGTCTTTTTTGTGAGATTTCTCTTAGACAATTGAGCAGAGGCTCGAGCCCTGGTAAAATTTGTCGAAATAGAAGGCCCCTGTAAAGAAATTGCAGCAGCATATGCACTGAGATACTTAAAAAATGGCATTTTTTTGTAAATGATAAATAAATTGGTGACTTGAGCTGTACCGAGGTCCACTAGGAAGATTGGTAGGAGTATATTTTCCGGTAAGCATGCCGAGTCCCAAAGGGCTGTATGCAATGACACGAATACCCAGAGAGTCACATATACTCTTGATCTCTATCTGATCATTTCCAAAGCTCAAAAGCGAAAATTGCACCTAATTCGAGCATTTCAGGTTAAAATATGATATTACTGATGAAAATATATAAGCAGCTGCACAAGCATGTTTATTTTTGCCTGACAACAAAAAAATTAGTCTAAATTCATACGGAATGGAAATACAAATGGCACCTGAGCCGAGCTGAGTGGGACTCCTCGGGCCTTAAGGTAGTCGTGCACTTTTAGCAGCTGTTTTGGTCCGTAATTGCTTACACCAACTGCTCGTACTAATCCCTGTATTAGAGTGTTTTCTAGGATAAAGAAGCCATATAAGTTGGAAATGTGAAAATTTTAGAGGAAAATATATAAGAGATTACATAAAAAATAAAAATAAAAGTCCGTAAGGCGTAATAGACAATGATAACCTTGTCATGCATTGCCACTAAACCATCCCAAAGGGCTCGTTCTTGCAGAGGTGCATAATTCGCGGTTGACCAGTGCAGTTGTCCAATTCCAATTTGCTCGAGCTGAAGTCTATGTAGCGATGATCTGAAAAGAAGAATCCTTATAAAATTCTTTGCAGTCGAGAATAAAACAGCAAACTTGATAACTGAAAGAAAAAAAACTAGCTCAACTGAAATTAGAAGCATACTTGCAAGCATCCACGAATTGATTAGGAGTTAGGCGCCACGGGTATGCAGCGAATTTTGTAGCAATTATGATTTTATCCCTGGCCTGCTTATTTCCTTGGTAAGCAGACGATTAGAATTAAAAATTAGCAAATGGATTAGTGTGTTAGAAAAAACAAGAAAAGATGAAAGCAATTTGTGTACTTCCATATCAGCTAAACACAAACACAAACATACATTTCTGACTGAAAAGCAAACCAGGCATTTGGATGCTAAAACATAGTAAAACTACAGCAGAATTTCGCAAGCTTATATTCTTTCAAGACTTCGAAAACTCAAGAACCTGTTAAGTTACCCATAAGCATAATTTCATCCATTATATGCATTAGAACTCAAAAAACATAATAATATCCATGCAAATTCACTTAAATTCTACCATCTGGAGCTCATACATGAGCAATTGAACCGTTAAAAAAAAAAACTCGCAACTAAAAAGGAGCAACGCACGGTAAGAATCATCAACCTTCAAACTCGCGGATAAATTTCCCAAGGAGCTTCTCACTTTGCCCGTTCAGTTTTCCGGTGCCGTACGAATCGGCTGTATCAAAGAGATTAATTCCATTCTCAACTGCAAGATTGAAAATCTGCTGAAGCTCACTGTCCATGGATTCTTGATAACCCCACAACAGCTGATTACCCCAAGCCCAGGTACCGAACCCCATTGGGGACGCACTCAACGGGCCTATTTTCACCTGCCAAACAAACGTAATTGAAAGTTGAAAAAACCCGAGATCGATCTCGAAGGCAGGTGCCTACTTTTAGAGACGGACAATTTTGGGGAAAAAACGTTGATTGATTACCTTTTGCCATGGCAAGAAACGAGGGAGTTTAAGAATTTTCAAGCTCGAAGGAGAAATAGTTTGTGAGCTTCGAGAGAAGGCGGAGCTGCTAACGTGCGCCGTTGGTGGCGAGAATGAAGCTGAGTGAGCCATTTGCTTATTCTGATTGCTGCTACTTTTTGTGTTTGAAGTTCAGAGGCTCTCAAGGTGGATAAGGAAAACGCTTATTTGTAACTTTGGTCCTTAAATAGTGGTTATTTACACTTATGGAGTCAACTCGTTTTAACTCGTGAAAGCTCAACACGTTTGAAAAATTCTGAATAAGTTGTTCAAAGTTCGACTCAACTATTTTATTTCATGGTTATAGAAAAAAACAAGTAATTTAAAACAAACTCTATTTTAATTGTTCAATAAACAAGTTCATTTAATTGTTTGAATTCAGCTTATTTACGTAAATGGACAAAATGAACTTAAGATTTCACGAACCAAATCTAACTATGATGGCTAGTAATTCGATTTTAATAATACCACCATGTTTTTTTTAACTCTTCTATAAATATCACCCCACACTACACCAATTTCACAACATCCTAACATACTACACACCACCACGACACTCTTCACTCCTCAGTTTTCATATGAGAATACTTTTAATTGTAAGACTGATGTTAGGCAAGTCCAATTGTTAAACTGTTAGACAATCATAATTTTTAACTATATGTGCATATATCAAACTCGAATGTCATACTCTTAAAAATATGTATATAAAAGTATGATATTTGATAATATAAATATGTGTTACAATCGACTTGATTTCTCAAGATTAATTAAGGGATCAATTATATTATCTTTTTAATGGTCCTTTAATTTTATTTCTGGCGGCCAAACTTAGCTCAGCTTGGAACAAGTAAACGACAACCGACTTAAGACAAACTGAAACAATAATCGACTTATCGCTTAACTCCAAGACCGACTTCAGATTAAGGATAAAGGAACCGACTATGCAGACATTTCTGTTCAAGATTATCTATTTAAACCGAGATCCGATGTAATTGAATTCCAAAGCAGGAGGCGTTGTACACTTTTAATTGAACCATCAAGTCAAAGAATAATCATTGATGTTCCCTCACAGCATTACACGTCGCTTTATTGAAGCTACTCAACATTTAATGCAACCTGATCTATCTCGGACAAAAAGACAAAATCACCGTACTATAAATAGTGGAATTTATGACTGTACAAGAATCTTTTTCCGCACATTGTACACGGACTATAAAAAACATCTCGGTTACTTACAAAACCGACTTCCTGTACTCTCGTGAAATAATCAATAATACAAAAAATTTACGTTCATTTCCCTTTAAATACACCTTGTTTTTGTTTACATGAGTTGTTAAATTTTATACTAACAATAAGCATTTTTATTTATAAAGTATAATGGGTGATCTTTATAAGCCAACTTCTTATGCGAAAAATTGTGATACTTTATATGTTTGTGTGCAATCGGTTTGATGAAATAAGCTTATCCATAATGAAGATAATGATATGCCTTTACCTTCAAGTTGTTAAATTATAACTCTTCTCCCAGTTCCCAAGCTTCCCCAGTTAAATCCCAGCCTTACTAGCAAAGGTCAAAATTTTGGCAATCATTAAAATGGTTTCAAAAAATACCCAATATAGTCATGTTTGAATTTAGAAATTCATTCTATTTATTTAATTACTATCACGTACAATCCACACCGAATCCATCCACCGCCATACATAAAAAGAAAAAAGTAAAAACACCCTTTGGCGTACAAGCTAAGAAAAAACCCCAACCAATGACAGCTAAATCTAGAACGAACCCAAACTCTACACGCACAAAAACTCCTTTTCCTATATAAACACAATCCCCATTACCCAAAACCTTCTCCAAAGAAAGAAAAAAAAAAAACCCAAATTCTCCATATATATATATATACATGAGCTGCGTTTTTCGCCATAGCACTATACCATGAGCAATATTCCCAAATCTCTAACCGACGCCGCCTTATCCCTGTTCGCACTCGCCATCTCGGCTTCCGATCCTTGGCCCTTTTCCTCTCTCTTCTTCTAGGCTCTAGCATCGAATTTGAGTTTTCGAAACCCTAAATCTCGCTCGACTTTTGTTTTTCATATTTTTGTGAGCAATTTGTTGGTCGATATCTCTGTAAATACTGATGAGTCGGTCGATCGGAGGCGGCGTGGGGAGGCGGGAGGCGGCGGGCGTGCCGAAGGGGTGCCTGGCGGTGACCATCGGACGGGAGGAGGAGGAGCGGCGGCGATTCGTGATTCCGGTGGCGTACGTGAACCACCCTTTGTTCGCGCGGCTGCTAGGGGAGGCGGAGGAGGAGTACGGGTTCGAGCAGGAGGGGCCGATCAACATCCCGTGCCACGTGGAGGAGTTCTGCCACGTCAGGGGGTTGATCGACAGGGTAATGACGACGTCGCACCACCACCACGGCGGCGGCGGCCACCACCATCAGTTCCTATGCTTCAAGGCGTAGGTTGGGCTTCGTTGTTTTGAGCCGCTGTTTGGGTGGTCAATTTGGTCGGGGGTTGACTTTTTTATATATGTTTATTTATTTATTTATTTATTTTTTTTCTGTTTGGTTTTGGTGTGGCAAATGTGGATTATATTCCTTTTTTTATTATCGAATATATTTGATTCTTTTTTTTAATTGTCGTCAACTTGTGATTAATAAGATTTGGATTGAACATAGGAATGGCTAATTTATATGAAAAGAAAAATAACAAAAATAATTATCATTTCCTCTCATTATCATCGTTGGCCTCAAAAACATAAATAAAACGACCACTACTAAGTACATAACAAAATGCAATATGTTCAAGGGTTACTAGTGCAGAGCCCGTGATGCACGTGGTGTACAATTTTAAGGCTATTTATCCAGGCTTATAATTATATACATGAATAAAGAAAAATGTACGGGATATATATAGTACGTGACCCGTGCGAGACACGAAATATATTTATTTGGGTAATATTATATTATAAGATGCAATATTAACTAAAATTTTATAATACGTAGAAAAATTGTACAATAAGAAGTATTGGATGAAAGACCTATTAACTTGTTTGATTAAGCTAAATTCTTGATTCATTATTTTGAATGAAATACTGATTGGGAATATTTTTTTTCGTAGGAGGTTGAAGTGAGGAAGACGATGACTCAATATTTTGAGATTTATAATTTATAATTAGTAGAGTATAATCAATATCTGTTAAGATTTTTAAGAAAAAATCTTGATATACGGAAATCACTTAGATCAGATTTTCTATACAATTAGATAAGATTTTTTGTACAAAGATAAGAAGAAATTTTAAATCTACACAAACTATAAATATTAGATGTATTGATTTACGTAAATCAATATCTATATAGACAACCAAACTCTTGATATCTGATTTATTTTTTGTAAAATCAAGATTTTATCTTCCGATCAAATATGCCTTTTTTTTTGTTTTATGTACATTTAATTTTTGTATCGATTTTATGGAAAAAAAATAATTAAATAAAAATTAATTGATAGAAATTGAATGCATTAATTACTTTTGACTTTTCTTTCTACTAATTCTAATAAATGAGATGGCTCTTTATATAAGTATAAATTAAATATTCAAAAAATCGGTATTCAATGTATGTTGTAATGTATGAATAAGTAATATGTATTGTGATAGCTAATAATTGAAATAAACTAAAAAATATATAAAAATAAGTAATATTCCAATATACTATTAAAAATTTCGAACCAAGTTCTCAAATAATAATACTTGCAAGCGTTCATTTGCAGCTCTAATGTTGCTTATTCTACTCAATGAAATGAAAAACAACAGCTACACAATGCGGCTGTTAAAAATTAAAAAAACAAACTAAAACTATAACCTAAATTATTTTAACATAAGATAGCAATCATAAGAATTCAGTTAATCTTGTTTAGAATTTTTATTTGTATAATAATCATTATCTTTATTGTTGTAAAATAGATATCTGTTAGGAGTGCTATTCAAAATCATACAGGATCAAATTATTAGGTCCGAGTTTGAAGGTCAACATAGCAATTAAAGAGTCTGGTGAATCAAATACTTCTTTAGAATTTTTATTTGTAAAATAATCTTTATCTTTATATTTGTAAAATAAATATCTTTTAGGATAGCTATTCAAAATCATACGGGATCAAATTGTTAGGTCCGAGTTTGAAGGCCAACAGATTAATAATGTCCGAAAATCTATATTTAGTAGGCATTAAATGTATTTGGCGGAAAATAACTGCTAAAATTATTAAATGGTTAATCTTTTTATATAATGATAGATTACGATTTACGTGCAATTGATTTTGAAATGATTTTGGTTCAAAATCAACTGTTCGTTTCAGATAAATTAGCCACATATTTGATATTTGACTTTAAGCTTGCTATGTGGAAGGTTTATTACGTCTTAAAATATCATTTAGAATTGTTCAACCATTTAATCTAAAAAAGGCTCCTTCATGCAAATTTTTCAAACTTAGATTTTATTTTTTACCAAACAAAGGTTAGCCCATACTTCTAATTTAACAAAAAAAAAAAAAAACTTTTCATTCGATCATAGACATTAATAATCCACTAAATGTGAACAAATAACAGTTGATGGATTAATATATTATATATTTTTGCATCTATATATATAATCAGAGCCCATATTAGTTTTACCAATTCATCCACCAACAGACACATTTTTTATTACCAATTTTTTTGAGATAACTTTATTGGTCACAAAGTATTAAAAGATACTTAGTCTCAATTAAAATGTCGGTCCTAAACTATTGACCACGATTCCATTCATGAAAATTGTTATGCTTGGTTCTGATTCATTTATTTTTTATAGTTGACGAATTGTCTGAATTATCACTAAGCCAATTGTTTCGAACCATGATCGAAATGACCTAAATGCAAAAGAACAAGAAAAAAATCTAAACCGATACCATTATGAGACTGTAACCTTGTATTAGATGATGAATTTTGATTCAAGAGAATTAAATCCCTTAAATCAAATGTTCTAAACTGTTGATATTGTAAGTCGGAGCTATTGACCATAATTTTGGGCCTGGAAATTGCTCCATTTCGGTTTTGGTTCATTTATTTTTTGTAGTTGAAGGTTCATCATTCTGTATTAACCCTAAATCAATGGTTACAAACCATAATTGAGACAACCTAAATGAAAAAAGAATAGTTGATTTTGAACCAAAACAATTTCAAAACCTTAACCTAATATCATGTAGTTGGGTTCAAATTTAAGAGGATTGAAAAAACCCTCAAATAAATTGCTCGAAATCGTTGGCACCATCGGTCTGTAGCTATTGACCACAATTTTGGGCCTGATAATTGCTCCATTGGTTTTGATTCGTCTGATTTGTTATAATCGATGATTTATCACTCCCAATTAGATTATCACTTAACTAATAGTTAAAAACCATAATCGAAATGACTTAGAATCTTAGAATGAAAAAAAATAATAGTTGATTTGAGCCAAATCGCTACAAAATCGGAACCTTAAACCGACTCTTCAAAATTGTTCGTCGTGTCAACTGATGTATGGTTGAGACTTGAGTGGAACCGCAAAATGAAAAAAGCACAGGGGAGGTAAGTAGAAATTTCTATCAATACACGGATTTATGGAGAATATCTACAAACTCAAGGACCAGAAAGAAAAGAAAAACAAAAAGAAAAAAAAAAAGAGCCCGTCGTTTGTCCTCCTCCATAGTCCATGGCAACCTCTTTTTTCCCTCCTATCCAAAAATCCATCTTCAATTTCGCCCTCCACACGCACTTATGCCTTCATTCACACTTCTTCAGAACTTCACCGCATCACCGTTCCCCGTCACGACTCCCGGAGTCTCTTCGAACGCCGTCGCCGGCCTCTCCGCCACTCGGTTTATTCAGTTTCAGCTGAACACTCGCCGGAATTTGCTCGGTGGACGTTTGATAGCAGTAGCAGTAGCAGTTCAGGGAAGAGAAAGTTCTAAGTGCGACCCTCCGTCTGTAGTTCTCGACAGCCTCAGAGTTTTGCAATGGGAAGAGCTCTGCGATTGCGTTGCCTCCTTCGCCGGCACTTCACTTGGCAGACAATTCACCAAGGTCTCTGCTAAATTACAGCTATTGCATAATTTTTTTTTATGTATGTGTGTTAACTGTTTGTGTATGTGTGAATGTTGCTGTTATCTAATCCTATATTCCACGTTTTGTGTGGTCAGGAGAAACTGTGGGAATTGGATAAATCGTACGACGATAGTGTAAGACTACTGAAGGAGACTGAAGCTGCTGTGGAAATGCTCAAATATGGTGCCATGATGGACTTTACCGGCATCCATGTTGCATTGGTGTGATGAATTCTATCTTTGTTTTGCTACTGAGTCCGTTCAAACAGATTTTTGCTTATTTTATATGCTAGATTTCGATCTTGTAGTTGAAATTGGCTTTTGATATTGAGGCTTCTGTTCAAACAGATTTTTTCGTATTTTATATGCTAGGTTTCGATATTGTAGATATTATTCAGTTTCTTTATTTGGATCTGTACTGTCGCTCATTGTAATTCTGGAACAAAGCAGAAGTTTAAACTAGATTCCCTTATTTTCTCAGTTGGAAGTGTTAAGCTGACCCTGTGTTTTGTTGGAAGGTGGAGACTGGACTAAAATGTGCTCGCACGGGTTCTGCTTTGACCGGGAGTGAAGCAGTGGCACTTGCAGCCCTTTTACAATTTGCTGATTCACTCCAGTTAAATGTGAAAGCTGCAATAAGGGAAGATTCATATTGGTTTAAAAGGTTTATGCCTCTATCAGAACAGGTATTGTAGTTTTATTTGGATGGCTTGTATAAATGCTTCATGGTGCTTGTTCAATGATATCCAGAATTTTTATTAACTGCAGATAATGGAATTAGTCATAAGTCAGCCTTTGATCAAGTTTATACAGCAAATTGTGGATGAAGATGGCTCCGTAAAAGATTCCGCGGTCGGTTGTTGAGTCCATCTTCTATATGCGGGTTTGAATTTAGTTTTTTCTAGTATAGCCCCATTTTGATTCTTAGTATGCTTCCCGTTCAGAGTTCGGACTTGAGACATGCACGTAATCAAGTGCGCTCAATTGAGAGAAAGGTAACCTTTATATTGTAAACTGTCTGTTATGTAATTATGATGGAGAAAATAAGATTATCGGGCTCGGGATACGTGAGTTTGGTGGGTTTCTTTATCTACATAGCTTTCTGTATGAAGTTGGCTGTTATTTCAAGTTCACCGTGTTCTGTTTGAGGGGCCTGATTGCGACCTAATTTACTTTTCATTCATTAGTTGCGCCAGTTGATGGAAGGCATTATAAGAAATGAATTCGAAGAAACATCTACTCTCGTAAGTTAGTTTGTTTCAATAATATATGTATTGTTGCATAACTTTGGTGTTAATTATCTTATACATTTAAAATTATGATAGTAATATTTAAAAAACACTTCTATGTGTTTTCTTATTAATACTTTGAGGTTCTTTTATTTTCATTGTACAGGAAATATGCAATATTGATGGCCGATGGTGCATACAGTCAAATGCTGACGCGCGCGAAACTTTTGAGGGACTATTGTTGGCAAGGTGCATCAGACACTTCCTTGTTTCTTTTATTTTTACACTTTCATAGTTCAGGAATAGGCATCAAAGTAGTCTCTAAGCTGTTCTTGCTAACTTCATTTCTTCAATGGAAGTGACATCCCAATGTGATGATCAAATGGAGACAAGTTTCTACCGTGATGTTACGATTGATGATGCTTTATTTGACCGCGTAGATGCTCATTACGGCTATTGCAGATAATAATTTATTTTACTTACTCTGTGAATTGGAGTAAGGCACTGATTCGTCATATTCAAACTTTATATGATGCTTAATAAGAAATATTATAAGGAATCATTGCACATTTATTTGAAATGTCATTGCCTCGTTCACATGGAACGACATAGTATATATTTTGTATATTGCATCGTAATGCATGAGCTGATATTCAGTTTCATTGTTACTGAAGAGACATTTTCCCTTTTGACCATCCAAAAATTCCAACACATTTTCTCTGTTACTGGGTATGTTGTTGTTGTTGTTGTTGTACACTGCGAACCTGAATTTTCATCTCGACTAAAGATATTTGAAATTGTGCAACCTGCCATGTTTTTCTTGTTAGTCCTTTGAAATAATGCTCGAGTATAGTGGTTCAGGTGCTGGAAGTCTCGTAGAACCACTATCAGCTGTTCCTTTAAATGATGAGCTCCAACGAGCATGGGAGTCAGTAGCAAGGGCTGAGGCAGAGGTGCTCTTGAAGATATCACAGAAGGTTTGAAAAATATTTTCAACTTTGCATTTTTCTTATATTTGTACTAAATCAAGCAGTCAGTTTTATGTCCTATTTATTGTACAGATAAAAGTCGATCTTCATGACATTGAACAAGTGTTCAAAAGCATGATTCAGATAGACACGGTAAGCATCAAGAACATCACTGTGTTGTTTGATATGCAGTGTTACCCACTGAATATTGTCTTCACAATGAGTGAATTATGATTATTCTTTATATTGAGATTTTATTAAGTTCCGCTACTATAGCTGTTCGGAACCCACAAAGCATTCCGACCGGGTGCTCTAGTGAAATGCTATAATTTTATGCATAACAACTTCTCTTAGTATGAATTTAATGACACGGGAAAATGTTTCACTCCCTCAGTGAACAATAATTTTGAAATCATATTAGCCAGATGGTTGTTCTGTAGGTTGATGGGCTGTCAAGCTCATTTTTGTTTCATTTGCAACTTGCAAATGAATGTTACCATTTTGTGGTTGATGTCTGGAGCAGCATCTTTTTACAATACGTGTACCTTAACACAATTTTATGTGGTCTGATCTGCTTACGGTTTATGAACATTTACACCAATGTCTCATCGAATAGATTGATTCTCAACCGAGCTGATCGTGTAAATTCTTATGTGCACATTAATGTCATACTTATGCAAAAGCTCGACACTCACATTTCCCACAATGTGACACAGATCAATGCTAGAGCAAGATATAGTCTCTCGTTTGAAGGTGCTTTCCCTGAACTGTATTTTCCGCAAGATAAAGGTAGCACCGTGAACTCGGACACATCAGCAGAGGATGACATCTCATTACTATCACAACCCAATCAGAAGAAGTGGTCATTATATTTGCCTAGAACTCATCATCCATTATTGCTACGACAGCATCGTCAAAATTTGCAAATGGCCATGAAGGATCTGAGTGATGCAAAAGCTGTAAGCTGTGCTTACACGCACGCTTAATTGAAAGTCCAGTACATACTATATACTACTTTTAGAAAGTGAACCTCAACAAGTTATTTGGTTGATTAGTTTGCATACTACTTGGAATTGTGTGGGTTGGTTTTTCAAAATCCCATTTAGTGTGGGGGTAAGAGAACCAAATTGGTTGAAATCGAGGGGCTTATGTATCTCACAAATTCTCATATTCTGAATCTTCTGAAATTTGTATAGTTTCCTGAACGATTGTGCATTATTACAGGAAATCAGAAGGAGGAAACAGATCGGAGGATCTTCAAGATGGAAAGAAGATCAAGATTCATATATATCGTCTTTGGAGTTGCAGGTAAAAACTGTCAGTTAAAACGGGTATCTTGTACCAGCTTAGACACTATCTGACTATGCTAGCTTCTTGCATATGCTACTTTAGGTTCTTTCTCTGTGACATTGTTTTCAGGTTGCCAGGTTGAAACAAGCTCTTCCAGTCCCCTTTGACATATTTATAACGCAGAGTACTAGAGTTCTCGTTATAACTGGCCCCAATACTGGAGGCAAGACAATTTGTCTGAAGACAGTTGGATTGGCTGCAATGATGGCAAAATCAGGTTATCTTCGTGATATTTTTTCTACTCCCATGGACTTATTAACTTGGACATGTCTTTGCATTTTCTTTGTTTTGGTCTTAACTCTCAACCAACATTATATCTGGAAACTTCTGTTGATGTTTGCTTATTTCGAATTCAAGGAACACTAAATCTGATCGCCCACGGTTCCCAGTTATCACGAAAAAACATGTGACTCCACCTTGTATTTTGTTATAATTAAGCTATTCCTAGTCCCGGAAGGCCCCATTGCACTGGGCCGTGAAATCTTATTTTTCCAATAATGGAAGGGAAAATATTGCAGGTCTCTATGTCTTGGCATCAGAACCAGCAAGGATTCCCTGGTTTGATTTTGTACTTGCTGATATTGGCGATGAGCAATCTTTATCTCAGTCTTTATCTACCTTTTCAGGCCATCTGAAGCAAATTAGCGTAAGCAGATAGGATTTACTTGTGTAACATAACTGGACCCTTTAAGGTCTTTGTAAATTATAATCAACCTATTCCTGGCAAGCAACTTAGCCAACTAAGCTATTTCTCTTGAAATCAGTGATGTTTCTACTATGAAAGAAGTTCAGTGAATGCAAATGTATAAAATGCCCTTTTAGTAGTGTGTGTAAACCAATTTACTCGTATTATGCCCATGGTCTTACTTCTGGCTGTTTTTTACTATGAAAGAAGTTTAATGAACGCAAATGTATAAAATGCCCTTTTAGTAGTGTGTGTAAACAAAATCTACTCATATTATGCCCACGGTCTTAATTCTGGCTGTTTTTTGCTGATTCTTTTGCAGGAACTCAAGTCCCTTTCAACAAGTCTGTCATTGGTGCTCTTGGATGAAGTAGGGAATTTACTTTTACTCTCTGCAGTTGAATGTATCGCAATCATTGACTTTTGCAATCAACAGAATAAATATGTGCTAATATCTAGATTGATAAATAGAATATTGTGTAATGAAATCAGGTTATATCGTACCATTAATTAGTAATTAGTCATTCCTTCGTCATTTTTAGGTAGGTGCGGGAACAAATCCTCTAGAAGGAGCTGCCCTGGGGATGTCATTGCTAGAATCTTTTGCCGATTCTGGTACTTTGTTGACGATTGCCACCACACATCATGGAGAACTCAAAACTCTTAAATACAGGTATCTTATGCAAATAAAAATGTACATATCAGACATGAGTTTAAACGTGATGTCTTTACTACAACGCTGACAGCAACAATGTCTTTGAGAATGCTTGCATGGAGTTTGCTGAAGAGGAGTTGAAGCCCACTTATAGAATCCTTTGGGGAATACCAGGTACTTTACTACATCTTCATATACTGATTTTCACTCTAAAAGATTTTTGGTAATGGTTATTTCTCTAATTTTAGGGCGCTCAAACGCAATCAATATTGCTGATAGGCTTGGATTGCCAGGTCAAATATTAGATAACGCACGTGAACTATATGGAACAGCTAGTGCAGAAATCAATGAGGTAATTGATAATTAGATGTGTGCATCGTGAAATTTGATTACCCATAATTCACTATAATCAAATAATTAAATAATATCAATCATCACTACATCACATCAACTTTAATTCACTATTCATCCACTCACATATTTTTAACTACCTATCACTTCCATCACCTCTCTTACTTTTACATCCCATCAACTTTAATCATTATATTTTAAATATTATCTAATTACACTTTCTCTCTCATCTCACTCAATCAACTTTATTCAAAATAGCTCAATCTAACTTAAGATCCAATTTTGATCGATTTGACTTGGCTGTGTATACTCTCGTCTAACAAACTCCCATGGAATCTAGTGCAGGTCATAGTTGATATGGAGAGATTCAAGCAAGACTATAATAAAAAAGTTCACGATGCACAACATTACCTGAGGTGATGATTCACCATATTTAACTGATGCCTGAGTCTATGCAAGTTCATTCAAACCATTTATTTCCCCCCCTTTTTAGGCTCTCAAAGAAACTCCATCAGGACCTACTCGAAACGAAAAAGAGTGTGATGCAACATGGCATGAATGAAAGATACAGGATGATGCAAGAAATGTCCGAGATAGCAGCTTCTGCACGTTCCATCTTTCATAAGAAAGTGCGCGAGTATCGATCACGTCCAACCGAACCTTCCAAGCAAATAAAAGCGGATACAAATAACCATACTTCAACATCACAAGAAACTGAAACTTCTGCAGCAGTTCAAACTCCCAATACCATGGTTAACCGGGAGCAACCGGTTACAGGTAATTGTTGAACTCTGAAAAGAAGCCAAACAGTAGTTTACCTGCTATGTGCATGCTTGGATACAATTTTTTTTTTTTTAAAAAAATAAATCCAATTATTTAACCAATCACTTTTTTTAACTCAAATTTAAATCAACCTCATTATCTTCAATATTATCAATATAATAAAATATACCACTCAATCATTCTTACACATTACATCAACTTTAATTCACTATTCATCTACTTACATAATTGTAGCTAATCATTACTTCACATCATCTCTCTCCTATTTTTAAATTAAATCAATTTTAATTATTTTATTTTAAATATTATTTTAATATAAACTCAAAATTTCACTAATAACTAACCATACCACTTTTTTCATAATTAACTATATCAAACCAAAAAATCCAAACAAAATCAAAACATCTTATATCCAAGCGTCCCTATTAATTTATTTTTAGAGAACATTTTATATTGAGATGTTCACATAACATATTGCTTAAAATTTTATTTTTCTTTGTTGTCGTTTTTTGGCGAGTTGCAGAGAAGAAGCGTGAGCTTCCAAAGGTTGGTGACACAGTGAACGTGCCTTCTCTGAACAAGAAAGCAACGGTATTGAAATTGGATCAGTCAAAAGGAGAAATAGTAGTTCAGGCTGGTAACTTGAAGGTGAAGTTAAAACTCGCTGATATTGTGAATTGATAATAAGAATGTGTTTTCTCCCCATGAAAGGCAGAAGAAAATTTTGTTTGCACTCATGTGGGGGTCTTAATGTGTAGTTAGTTGGTCCCCATCGATCCTTTTATATGGGAATCAAATACTCAAATTAAGAATCTCAAATTAAGGGAAAATGTAAAAAAGGGGTGTATTTGTTTGGACTTTAAGTGATAATTTTTTTTTAGAAGGGGTGAATTCTTTAGAAAAATTTTAAGTCTGAATAAGAGATCTCATGTGAGTAGTATTGTTAAATTAAACGACTTTGACTCAGCTCGGCTCGTCTCGTTTGATAAACAGGCCAAACTCAAGTTCATTTTGTTTGGTTACGAGTTCGGCTCGACTCGATAAAGCTCAAAAAGAGAATTTTTATATAATTTTCTATAGTTCGGTTTGTTAAAACTTGAGATCGACTCGTTATTAGTGTGATGAATGAGTCGAGTTCGTTTTCAGGTTTTTTATTTAACGAGCTGGACGTTAAGGGTTCGAGTTCCAACTCGACTCGGCTCATATACAGGCCTACATGTGAGATTTCGTTTATATATTTTTTTTTTCTCNAATCATACGTAAGTATTTCAAGACTTTTAAAATAAGTTCAAGTTAAATTTATTGGGATTCTTAAATCAAGAATTGAGAATTAGAATGGGGTTGTGACCGGTTGTCAAATTTCATAACTAAGCACTTGATATCTCACATTTGTCCTTCCTTTCCCTTTGCATGCTCCTCAATCATTAGTCGACTTGATACAGTTTGCGCATATAATCACACTGTCCAATTATTTTTCCAACTTCTGTTAAAAAACGAATCCATTCCTGATATTATGCTTAAACCACACGAAACAATTAGATCAGACGTGAGGATTGATCTTTGAAATTACCATAATTTTTTTATCTACCAGAAAAAGAGAACTTAGGGAAGAAAAAATGGAGCAGATTAATTATTGCTATAAACTGTTGTCCCATCCCGATAGATTTCACGCTAATTTTTTTACTGTGTGATCAACATATGCATGTAATTGGATTTTTTCACCGTTAAATTAATACACAACCATACAAATTTTCACTGTATAATCAACACATGTAATTGAGATTTCACCGTTCAATCACCCAACTCAAGTGGGCACAATATTTTTCCACATATAGCAACAAACAAACAGTACTCAGGTTTATATCTATCTCCGTAAAAAGAAAAATTGGGATCCCCAAAAGAACAGTGTTTCCTATGCTTTACGCCTTTACCTGCCAAAAATCATGTGACCTCCACCAGAATTTTCTTAAAAATTACCCAAAATGATTAAATAAAATAAATTAATAAAAAAAATTAAAAGAAAATAAAAGATGACTGGACCAATCCCACATTTTACCTTTCACAGCTTTCAGCATGCTCGATAAAATTATATTCTTTCATGCTTGCCACCAACATTCTCTGACTCCCCCCACCATTACTTTCCTCTTTTCCTTTTAAATCATTTCCCTTTTTTTATTAAATAAATAAATAAAAAAATACAATAGGCCTAATATTGCTACCAAATGGTTCAATTCTAGTCTAGCAGCTGCTTTGTTTCATTTCATGCCACTAAAAAATAGTGCAAGTTTCTTTTTTGTCCAGAGTGTCTTGTTAGATAGATCTTTTGCTCCTTTTTCTCTACATACGTACACTATAAAGACCATTTCACTACTAATCTTGAGCATTTTTTTCCCTATCAGTTTACATAATAAGAAAAAAAAAAACTTGGTAATGGGAAAAAACAACTCAAATTCATGGATAAATGCAGTGAAAAATGCCTTCAAATCTCCCACCAACAATGATGAGAAGAAGAGATGCAAAAGAGGTGAAGGAANGAGGATATTATTACAGTCCCTTAATTAAATACTTATTTATTTATTTTATTTTTCCAGAAAAGAGGAAAAAGGAAATGGATATTTGGCAAGAATTTCCCTACAGAAACAACAATACAAAACAGAGTAGCTAAATCTGCAATCAGACTATGTACAATTGGACATGAAAATCCAGTTGTAAATGAAGAGCCTAAAAGAGAAAAAAATCCTAATATTATTACATCCTTTGAAGATCATCAGCCAAAGAGTGCTATTGCCATGGCTATGGCCACCACAGCTGCTGCGGAGGCTGCGCTTGCAAACGCCGTGGAAATTATTCGCTTCAGTAAAAACTCCATTTTAGCCAGACAAAACCAGGCCGCAATTGTCATTCAGACAATCTTCAGAGGCTACCTGGTAAATAAATGTTACCATGTTAAGAAGGGGTTATTTGTAATTTTTTTAAATAATGGTGTGGCCTTAATGTAGTTTGGTTAAATTAAGGCCACTGTTTTATTCATATGGAATATTGTTGTTTGGGAAAAATCCGTTTTTTGTCATAATGATTTAATGTCATAGCGATTTCAATCTCTAGGTTTCAACTTTTTGCCTTTTCGTCTTGTGATTTAGTATTTTGTTTCAGCTTCAGCCATTGCAGAACTGAAATTGCAACAAATTCCCAAATTTATAGATTTTTATTTGCAATTTCAGTCATGTAATTTAAAATTTTGTTGTAATTTCAGTTCTCAAATGACTAAATTTCAGTTCTCAAATGACCAAAAGGCGAAATGTGAATCTTGGGACTAAAATTGCTCTGACGTTTTAAACCAGCACGACTAAAATTGCAATTTAGCCTTAGTTGTTTTTTTATCTTAAATGTCTTAAGTCTAGGAGAGCTCTGTTGGCCCTGAAAGGAGTTGTGAAAATGCAAGCTTTGATAAGGGGATACAATGTGCGAAAACGGGCCGAGTCGACTCTTAAATGCATACAATCTCTCGTCCGAGTTCAGGCGCTCGTTTGCGACCAACGAAGGAGGATTTCCTGTGATGCAAAACCCGTGTTCGGAAATGTGACTAATGTCGTAAGTATTTACAAAACTGTTCGACATTGTCGAAAAAAATTGTTGTTTTTCTTTTTACTCACATTTTCTTTTTTAATGTAATTTTTTTGGCTGCAGTCTAAAGACTATGTTGTGTTGTTGTTGTTGCAGTCTAAAAATGTGAGTAACACTTACAATAATTTGGGAGTTGATGAAATCCAGGCTATGATGCAGAGAGCAAAACAATGCTCACTAAGACATGGGAAAAAACATACACTTGCTCATATCTTGTCTCAACAGGTTCAAATTTTTTGGTCTGCTTGCAAAAGCATCCCATTCTTTTTTTGAAATTAGAGAACACCCCTTTTCATATCTGTTTTTTGTTTACTAAGGCTATATTTGGTAACTAAATAAGCATACAACTTATTTGATTAGCTTATCAACTTCCTGTATTTAAATAAGCTTTGTTTGGTTGAACAAACTTTTTTAAAAAAATTCGACCTTATCTCATATAAGCTAGCTTATCAGCTATTTTTAGCAAACACATTTATCGTATAAGCTAGCTTTTCAGCTATAAGTCATAAGTTATAAGCTCGAAATGCACTTATAAGCTATAAGCTAGCTTATCAGCTAGGTTTACCGAACATAGCCAAAATTACTCGCTCAATAAGCTTCTCTCTTAAATCATGTTTCGAATTCCGATTCACGTTTCAATCATCCAACGTAATGAAACAGGAACTGAAACATGATTTTGAAACGAAGAAATCTTTTCCTAAGAGGCTATTTGTTTTGTTCTCCTGAGAAAACGTGATTGGACTTCTGTAATTTGGTTAAACTTCAGGGTTCATTTTGTAAGCATTTCCTCGTTTCTTTACTGCATAATGTACTTAAATGATAATCCTCTTTGCCTACACAGACATGGACACTTGATGAGGATCATAATTCAGACAAAGAACACAAACCAAATCATTATACGACCCATCCGATAAAAGTCAGAAAAGACCGAAGCCTATGCATCACGTACGGATCCTCGAAATCTCAATACCAAGATTCGTACTTTATCAACTCACCAAAAACTCCATCCACAAAATCCGAGACAATTTATTTGAACCGAATGAGCCTTAGTGAAAATTCTTGTCCATTGCCTAGGCCCAATTACATGGCGGCCACACAATCGGCCATGGCCCGTGTTAGGCCCAATAGCACGCCAAGACAAAGGCCTTCAAGCCCGAATAGACAGCAAACGGGCCCGGCAAGAAGGCGTCTCTCGTTTGGTAAAGGGGATTGTTCGAGCGTGCCGTGTTATTTGACAGAGTAATTATAATTAATAGAATGTGTTTTGAATTTTTTCCAGTGGATTAGAACTAAGACCAAGGATTAACAATTTGTTGGAGAATTTAGAAGAACATGCATGCATATATACATATATATATATATATATATATATATGCTTTGATCGTAATTCATTTGTGCTCTCTCAATCTCATTTGTCACTTTTTATAGTTTATGTTGTTGGCTCACTCATTGTCAATCTCTCCATGAAGAGTTGGTAAGTAGCAAAATTGGCCATGAAGTTTGGTGTAATTATGGAAAAACCCCAGTCATGGAGATTATGAGATGTCCTTTTGCATTTGTTGATCTGTTACATACTGCTATACGGAGAAATTGTTTGTTAAGGAAATCAGATGATGAGTGGATATTAGAGTTGTGTGTAAATTAGTATGAAAAAAATGAAAGGAAAAATCAGATGATTAGTGGATAATAGGGGGCTATTTTTGTAATTATAAATTTATGATCCCACAA